AAAAGGTCCCCCCATCGTCCCCTCCCCACTCCTTCAGCCCCCCCTCCCCCACCCGCTACTTCCCAGCTCCTAGTCCAGCTCCCTGCTGCAGCCGCTGGGGACTGTCTGAATCATGAAAGCTCTCTGAATCTTTTTCAAAGATTCGGAGAGCTTTGAATCAATTTGGACCTTTTAACTGGTCCCCTGATTCAATTTGGATTCAGAGATTCGGCCAACGAATTGGGCCGAAACTCCTCTGAATCGAATTACCACCCAAAGCTTTGCACAGCCCTACTGCAGACACAGGAGAGCTCATCACTAATGCCGAAGAGACCTACTTCTTACCATATTCGTCCACATTGAATGAGTGATGGACCTCTTGGCCCGACTGCCTTGTGACAACAATGCTGTAGGACCCCAGGATTGGCTCCTGAGTTAAGGGGAATGAGAGCTCGACAATGCTTTTTGTAGATGTAGTTTCCAGCCACTGAAAGATATGATTTCCCCTGGGATCCTGAAAGAGTGGGAGAGGCAAACATAAATACACTGATCACCTTCCTTTTCTTCCACTCACTCTTCTCCTTTCACTTCTTTCAATTTATTCTGTTGGGGTGTTGACTCTGTGTGTAGCACGTAAAAAAGGACTTAGTCTTATGAACTATTGAGTGCTCTGAACCACTGGTTATCAAACCGTGTGTGTTAAATTGGTCTCAGTTTATGCTGGACTGCATACATGAGCTGTGAGCTTCCTAGAGACAGCTTTACACTGAGACTCCATGAGACTTATGATCTATTCCTGGCTCTGCTGCTGCCCTGCTGGGTGACTGTGGGCAAATCCTGTCTATTCTCTTCCTCGGTTTCCCCATCTTTCAAATGGGTATAATAAGTGATTCTGCCCTTTATCCAGTGTTTAGAGATCTGTGAATGAAAAGCACTATAGAAAAGCTAGGTGTTGTTACCATCTGCATTTCTTCGCTTTGTGATATAACCTTATATGGGGATACACTTGGTAAACTTGGAAGAGATGTCATCACAACAGCCAGTCTACTGCTCTCTCACTCACGAATATAAGAGCAATGCCACACCTACAGTTTTGTTATTTCCTTAGTTCTGCAGACTCCTCCCCTGCACTTTCCATAGTGTTTCCAAGTAGGTATTACAGTTATTCAACCCTTCTCTAGTTCAGTGGCAGTGGTCAGTATCATTTAACTGCTAATATTGTTCTGGCCAATTTCCTTTTCAAGACAGATGCCTCTCTGTGTGTCAGCACAGAAAAATGTCACCCACCCACATACCTCTATGCAGGGAAGTTGTGTTTGGTAACACAATTAAGAATTAACAGAAAAGGTTATGTACATGCTGTAGTTGACGGGTTTTTTCCCCCCAATAAATGATACCACATATTTTGGTATTGTACTTTTGTGTTCAGCAAAAGCCTCTGAGAAGGATATAGCCTTGCACAGCATCATGGGCATAATTTATTGCACAAGTAATGTATTAGAGTATAAGGGATGCAGTAATTGTTATTATTATATTATACAGGTTTCTCTCGCTTTATGCTGTACGTGCGTTCCTGGAAAACGGCGCATAACTTGAATGCACATAAAGTGAACCCACTTTACAATGTAACAAATAGAGTTACGTTTCAAGACCTCGACTGTACTGACCCCCCAGACCCTTTTTTACTACTTTTACAAGACAATTTTGGTACTCAACAACAGCAGACAGTACACACAAACACAGGGTGATGGTGAATATTTAGTGGCAACTACAGAAACACATGTTGCAGACAATGAGTGAGGAGCACAGATCCACACAGGAGACTATATTTTGGTGTGCATCACTCCCACAATGCACCGCACAAAGTAGCTCGCTGTGGGCTTCCACCACACCAACTGCATAAGAGTGAATTTACCTCTCATATAACAATTTTGTGGTATAAAAAGGGTCATTTCATAAGAGCGAATTCACACCTGCATAAAGCGGGGGAAACCTGTACTCTACTCCTAAAGCACCTTCCATTTGAGGACCATAATGTGTCTTATAGTCATGAACAAAATTTAGCTTCAAAATAACTCTGTGAGCTATTTATCATCACTCCTGTTTTAGATATGGGGAAGCTAAGTCATGAATGTGAAACCCAGGATCCTATACAGAGTCCATGGCAGTGGTGGGAAGAGAATCCTCATGTCCCGACACAGTCACCTGCTCTAGCCATGATTAATCTTTACAGAAGTGAAATGCGCTAATACACCTTCATACTGATGAAAGACCATGTTTCCTTCTCAGGTTATGGTCAGAACTTCTTGTATCAAAGACAACTAGAGATGAGATGAGCTTTTTCAGGAATGGTCACCCATGCGCTTGTGGGGGGATTTGGTATGCATTCTGCTCCTGAGAGACCTCTCTGAAAGCTTGCTGCTGCAGTCTCCAGTGCCTGCCACTCATTCTAAGTGGTGGAGGGATTATGTTAAGCTTGTTCCAGCTGCACATTTCCCAATGAGGCCACGTGAGGCCTACACCTGCTGGGTGGCAATTTCTCAAGCAACCATGCTACTTTCTGGGTGGTATTTCTCAAGCAACCACTGACTCTGTAAACGAAAAGTATTTCCCCCTTGCAAATAAATCATGTTTAACAGCACAGTGCATTTCTTACCTTGAGGATGATCTGGGGATACTAAAATAAAGAAAAAGAACAGAGAAAGAGATCATACATTAGGGAAACAGTAACTAATTTTAAAAAATGTTGGAATATAAGGGAAGCCTGTGGCTGTCCCTTCTTTGGGTGCAAAAAGCCTAAGATCAAGGTTTTGGTTTCAGCCTTATCTTAATTTGTGACTGTTCCAAAGTTCAGTGGATGAAGGAAATAACCCGAAAGCCACATGCCTAACAAGCTGTCTAAATTATTTAGGGTTTCCTATTTTATTGGCATATTCTACAGTCTCTATATCTGGTGTGTAGAGGTAAGTGAGGTAACTCCCATAGCTGTATTTTTTATGGAGATGCTAGGGAAGTTTCCAAATCTCTTCCTCTACACAGAGGTTGGGCACTAACTGCGTGATATGAATCTGGGGAGGGTAGGTGTACTACAGGGACATCAAGTGATCTACCGCAAGGCCTTGTTCCTATTAAAAGGTAAAAAAGTAGCTTGTTGAAGTGAATAGGTTTGTTGAAAATTTTTGATTCACAGCCACACTCACCGTCTCCTGAGCAGGTTTGAAATTTCTATCGAGAGCAACCACACGGATCATTACTGAAAAGAAAGAGTGGAAGAATGAAAAATGAGCAACTTTGCCAGTGGTGTGTCATTTGCTTATATGTATGTTCAGACACCACATACTTTCAGGCACATTGTAAGTCATACAATGACTGGAAGGGACCTAATGAGGCAGGACTGAGTATTCTTAGGCCATCCCCAACTGCTGCTTGTCTAGCCTGCTCTTAAAAGCCTCAAGTGAAGCAGATTACCTAGGAAGCATGTTCCAGTGCTTCACCACACTAATAGAAAGTTTTTCCTAATATTCAACCTAAATCTTCTACTTTGCAGGTTAAAGCTGATTTCTTTCTTGCTCTTCCACATAGCCCAAAAGACAACTGAACACCACGCTCCTTATAATAATTTTTAATGTACTTAAAGATCATGTATCCACTTAGTCTTCTTTTCTCCAGACTAAACAAATCTACTTCTTTCCATCTGTCTTAATAGGTCCTGGTTCGATCATTTGTGTTCCTCTCCTCTGGACTCTTTTCAATTAGTTTACATCTTTCTTGGAGTGCAGAAACAATACTGCAGCTGGGGTCTCACCAATACCCAGAAAGAGCTGCATAATGGCCTCTGAGATCATTACTGACAGGATTGTCTCTGGCAATTCTGAAGTGTTAAGAAGTAGCCATTTTAGCTGAAGAGCTAAGAAGCATCTGAAAAGTATTTTAACCATTGAAACATGTTTAATTGAAATATTTATTACACAGGTCAGCTGGGGTCATAATCATCTACCAATTAGACCCATGGTAATATTTATTCCTCAACGTTTCCATTACTGCACAGTCCCAGTGGCTCACGGGTTGTTTTCAACCCTGCTGTGCACTAGCAATGAGTTACTGTTCTTCCTATTGAATACACATAAGCTATATTTTACATTGCAGTTCTATGAGTTATTCCTTCCACTGTCTCCAAATGATACCTGCCAGGCACTACTCCACATCATACCAGGATGGATGATGGTTGTCTTCTCCCAAGTCCTTTGCCTTCCTAACAGTGAGAAGCCTTTCCCATTCCAGGCACTCTCTGACATCCAGTTTCCCAGTTAAATAAGTGACTCATGTGCCTTCTTCACCTGTTTGTCCTGGTTTGTAGATGGGCTTGTCTGTTTGGATGAAGACAATGTTGTCTGTGTTCTGAATCGCCACTGACCTCCTCTCAGATAGCTTAATTGTTGCACCCGTGACAGAAAAAGTGATGAAAGCCAAAGGGTGAGAGCCGGCAGGAGGAACCTGAAAGGAAATAAATATTGAAGTAAGGAGGTGATAAGTAAGATCCCTTAAGGTCTATCTATACTAGGGGATCCCCAGTAGGTAGAGACAACCGTAGCAGGGTGCAGGGCCCAGGACAAATCAGCTTGTGCAGGGCCTGAACGTGGTGGTGGAAGCGGCAGTGGGGGGAGGAGGCGAGCAGCTGGACGCAAAGCTGGCCTGGCTCTGTGGGGTCCCCCAAAGCATGGTGTCCAGGGCAGTTGTCCTGATTCTACCCCCACCCCCAGAGACACCCTGTCAGTAGGACTAACAACCTCCAAGTGTGTCACACAATGTTTCTGCAGGGTCAGGGGAGGTTGCATATCTTCCAAGACAAGTTTCTCTAGGAGTCCATGCTATTGGAGATTGTTGCTGTCATCAATGGGTTGTAAATGACATGCACAACCAAACGCATGCATTATGCAGCAAGGGTGTTCTAACTAACTTGTCCTCCATGCAGCTACATCAGGGGGTGTCAACTGGGGGGTACACTTACCTCTAGAGGTACTTGGAAAGGTCATATGGGGTACGGTGCCACCACCCACTGCCCTGTGCTACCACCAGCACCCACCAGCCCATGCTGCTGCCACACGTTGCTCTTCCACAGCCAGTTGCATGTGTGGCTCTGTGAGCTGCTGATGGGCAGTATGCAAGTGGTCAGGCATGTGCCCTGTCAGGAGCCGATGAAGCCACACATGTGACCAGCTGTGGGAAAGCAGGGTGCTGTGGTGGGTAGTGGTGTGTGGCGGCAGCGTGGGGTAATGGGTGGCGGTGGGTGGCAGTGGTGCAGGGCGGTGATTGGTGTCGGTGGTGGTGGCTGCCACATGTGAGCCTTCCTCCTGCGTGTCTGGCCATTGCCACCAGAAGGGGTATACTTGCTAAAAAAGGTTGAAAACCCCTGGCTTAGATCTACACATAAGGATGACATCCAAGTGCCTTTTCCAGCCTCAAGCCCTGACCAGTGTTTGACTCTTTCACTTTTCTGCCAGCCTATTTCCCAGGCACAATTTCTTCTCTCCCTCTTTGCTCTCATTCCTTCCTTTCATATCTCATCCCCATCTCTACTTGAGCCTCTTGCTCCTCCTGCTTTTGCTCTCAAGAGCATTGCTTACAAAGATGCTTCCACCTTACCTTCTCCATAGTAGAACTAAAATATTAAATACCATGAACGTGGTGCATTTGAAGAAGGCATTCTTTGTCACAGACTCGTCAAGCAGAGTAGTATTGACTTCATTGTATTCCAAGATAATGCTCAGGGCCACTGGCTCTCTCAGGTTATAGAACAGTAAGCAGGCGCTCTGTGGATTTCCACTCTGAACCACGGCAGGAACCAGCAGGACATATTGGCTACAGGGAGGCAAAACCAGGCAGCTAGTTCAGTCAAATAAGGCTGAATGACAGAAGGGAACACATGATAACAATCCACATGCAGGGGGGCTCAGTTGCTACTAAGCAATCCTTATTCTTGTGAAATTACTACTGAGGAATCCTTATTTCTATAAAATCCATCCACAGCCTAGTGAAACCAAAAAAGACTCCTTTTTACTTAAGGGAGCTTTGGGTAGGGTCCTGAGGGAGCAGAGAACAGAGGTTTGTCCCGCAAACTACTCCATTGCTAGACAATTCCCTGAGCTGAGAGCAGCCAGGCTAAGGGATGGATTTCTTCTTTCTGAGAGTTAATGTGTCTCTCTTTAGAAAACCCCAGTGAGTTACGGTACTGTTATTTCCACCCTTGTAAAGGTGGGAACTCGGCACACACAGAGGCCACCACAGGCAGTTAGGTGACCCAACAAAGAGCACTGCAGTGCCCCTATAGTGGAGCTCACAGCCTTGAACCAGGCCCTGAGTTTCCCTGTACAATACAGGGGAAGAGTTAGGAGTCCTAAAAAGAAATTCACAATATACTTTGTAGGGATACTGCGAGCAGTGGGTGTGCTTGAAATCCCAACCCTTTCTGGGATGCAAGCATCTTACTAAGCACCACTAGGAGGCATCTTCCACCATGGGGGAATGATGGCTTGGAAGCTCTTTTCATCTATAACATGGCTGGAGAACAAGGAGCTTTCCTATTCTAATATAATAAAAGCCATAGTCTGTCTGTCTGTCCGTAACGCTCTGGGCCAACTGCGCATGCACCGCCGAGAGGGCGGGTGCCAGTTGGCTGGGCAGCCTGAGCTGTGCGGTCCAAGTTTGAGCTGCTGCTGAGGAAATTTGGTGGTGGCAGGGAACATGTCTTGGCCACCCGAGCAGCGGAGCTGCCCCCCCAGAACAGCCATCAGGGAGGGGGATGAAGGGAGGGGAGGTAGGTGGACATGGAGCGGTGGGGAGGATGATGGAGTGGGGTCAGATGTGGGGGTGGAGCATGGGGCCCATAGGCAGAGGGAGGGAAAAAAATTGGGGGGCTGAGTGTGCAAGGGCCCCCCAAGGTGGGAAAGTCTGCGGGGGGAGGGGAGGAGTGCGGCTTCAAGCAGGCAGGGATTGGAAGGGAGTGGAGCAGAGCCGGGATTGGGGCCCACCGTGCCTGTGCAACTGCCCCTTCCCCCACACCTGGAGCCATTGCCTGGTTCTGGCAGGCCCCACAAAACTGCCACCTCCGGCCCCGTACCAGCCCCAGTTGCCTCCCTGCACTGCCTGGGGTGGGGGCCGGGGGCCTGAGCAGGGCTAGCTTTGGCTACACCACAGGGCCAGAGCCCCCAGGACTTCTGCGCCTGCCCTGGGTTATCCCCGGGAAGAGCCTGGTGGCTCCTCCACAGGCAGGACACCAGGGAGCCAAGGTAGTAGGGGGGGAAGGGTGGCTGCAGCTGCAGTCGGGCTCTGCCTGCTCCCTGCCTGCATGCCCTGCTCCTGCCTTTGACAGTGGCAGGGCACCATGTGCATCCCCGCTGGGCAGGCCAGGCAGCGAGGCACATGGTACCATGCTGCTGTCAAAGACATGCAGGCAGGGAGCAGGCAGAGCCTGGCCCACCACTGCAGCTGCCCTTGCCCTGTGCACAGATGAGGGGCAATGTGCCCCCCCATTTTGCTCCCAGGCGCCTCTGAAGTAGCTGCTGGGCTGCACTGGGCTCCTTCTGGGGACGACCTGGGGTGGACACGTGGGTCCTGGGGGCTCTGGCCCGGCGGTGCAGCTGAGGATGACCCTGCTCTGGCCCCTGGCCCTGCCAGGCAGTGTGTAGAAGCAGATTGGGCCAGTGTGGGACTGGTTTCACAGGGGCTGCTGGCGGTGGGCAAGGACCCTGGGCATGGGGGAAGGGGTGGCTGCATGGGCCCAGCAGGCCCTGGCCCCAATTCTGGGCCTGGCTCTGCTCTGGTCCCAGCCCCTCTCCTACAACAGACTTTCCCGCTAGGGGGTGGGGGGAACGCGCAAGTGTGCACACTCAGCACCCCCCCAAATTCTTTTTTTCCCTCTATATGTGCGTGCATGTGTGCATGTGTGTGCATGTGTATGTCTGTTCATGGCAGAAGGAAGAGTGTGCTTGTGTCTGTTTGTCCATTTGCAGAGAGTATGAATAGTGTGCTCACCCATCTGAGTGTGTGTGTCTGTGTGAGTGTCAGTGCATGTGTATGCATGTATCTGTGTGTGTGCATCAGTGTGTGTGCATGAGTCTGTGTTCATGGCAGGAAGAGTATGTTTGTGTCTGTGTGTCCATGTGCAGAGTGAGTGAGAGTGTGCACCTGTCTGTGTGTGTTCATGCATGTCTGTGTGTGCATGCATGTGTCTGATTACGGCAGTAGGAAGAGTGGGTTTGTGTCTATGTGTCCATGTGCAGAGAGTGAGTGAATACAGTGCATGCTTATCTGTATGTGTGCATGTGTGTGTCTCTGCATGTGAGTATGTATGCATGCGTCTGTGTTCATGGCAGGGAGTGTGTTTGTCTGTGTGTCCATGTGCAGTGAGAGTGTGCACCCATCTGCGTGTGTACATGCATGTGTCAGTGTGGGTGCATGCGTTTGTGTGTGTGAGTGCATGCGTGTGTGCATGTATCTGTTCATGGCAGAAGGTAGAGTGTGTTTGTGTCTATGTCTCCATGTGCAGAGAGTGCACCATGCCACTGCCCCCTCTCCCAGTTTTGCAGGGCTAATTTGGGGGAGACAGGTGTAAAAGCAATAGTTGGTCTGCTTCCTGCTGCTTGTTCCTCCTGCTCTCCCAGCCCAAGCTGGTTCTTTCAAAACAATAAAAAACAGGACTGAAGAAAAGAGGGAGTTACATCATAAAGTGAATCATTGCTCCTCAGTGTTGTAATCCTGGTATCACCACTCCCACATTAGTTCGTTTATTTCATTAACTGAGCTTGGCCAATTTAGCTTGTACAATACTCCGGGAAAGGACTAAGAAGTAAGTTTTCAACAGTGACCAAAATGTAGATCCACAAAAGGGCCTTTTACGTGCCTGGGAGTGGAATTCACAAATCTGAGGTAAGTGTCTAAGGTTCACCCTGGAGAGTGAACAGGGAGTTAGATGACTAGGTATAGGAGTCACAGTGGACAGCAGGTTGAGTGTGGGGATACCTTAGCCACCCTAATAAGTGTATGCTGAGAGAGGGGTTCTGGTTCCTATCCTGGCACTGTGCTTCTGTATTTTGTATAAAAGGCTTCATTCAGAAGCAGTGTCAGGACCAGAGCCTTCCATCACAGTCTAGCCCACAGCCTGGTGTTTAGACCCAAGTCACAGTAGCTGTGACCAGTGCTTTATTGATGAGGGTGCTAGCTCTTCCAGCCATGATTTTTTGAATGAGCGTGGCCATGGCTGCATGCAGCTCAGTTCTGTTGGTGTGTTAGGGGTGTTCAAAGCATGTTTCTAAATCAAGACCCTTGGTGGACTTGGCAGCAGGGCCATGTAGTTTTGTGAACCCTGACTGGACCTAGGAGTGATACAGGTGCCAAAACTCAAGTTGGCCATGATGATGGTGCCTCTGGGCACATGAAGTAGCAGTACTTGAGGCGCTTAGAGCTTTACTGGTAAAAACTTCTATAGATTCTCAGGGACCTAAGGCTGTGAGTAGATGAAATGAGAGGCATGTGTGCATGACACCTTAAAGCGGGCTAAATGCTTTTGCACTGCTTTAATGGTGATGGTCTTTGCATGCCTTGGTGGTGTATTGCATATTAATTCCAGCTGCTGTAGGAAATTCGGCGGTGTAATGTGTTTTAAATGACTTGGTGTGCAGCAAACTAAAACTCCTCTTCCAAGGAGTTTTAGTTTGCTGCCCGTACAGCCATGGAGCAAATCACCGGGCTCCGTGCAGCTCAGCGGCTCTGCAGGAAGCCCTGCAGGCAGCCTGGCAGCAGCCGGGGAAGACAGGCTCCGCCCAAGAAAAGCTGCAAGCCTGATTTTTTTTCCTTCTCCCCTGGAGCCTGCCTCAGCTGCGTGGGGGCCTGGTGCTTCCCTCCGCAGCTGCAGTACCCCCCGGGACCACCTGAGCCGGGTGTCTGTGGGCAGGTGTTGCCGGACACGGGGGCGCTGCTGCTGCTGAGGGAAGCACCAGTCCCACTCTGCAGCCCAGGGACCGCTCTGCCCACCAGCATCTCGCCCTCCCCTCCCACCACTGGAGAGGCAGGTTAGTCAGCAGGGTGCATGCACAACACAGGAGTTTAATTGGCCCTAAATTGAAATGGTGCTTTAAAAAACCCACCGCTTCAGTTTAGGGCCCCCGTTTCATCTACACATGCCCCAAGAAGTTAGTTGGAAGTTTCTGCAGATTGCTCACTGAGGCTTAAGGGCCCAAATTTTGCTTAAGTTGAACTTCAGGTGCCCAAGTCTTAAATGTATTTTAGGCACCTAAGTGCATATAAAGGTCCCAAGAAACTCATACTCCATAGTCACTTAGCTCTCGAAGTATCTAAATTCATTTGGGTTCTATATGTTGGACCGCAAAAATCCATAGGTTCCTGAAGTTAGGCTCCCATACATGAGCATCCTAGTTGGAGCAGCTGGGCGTTGAAACCCCTGCTAAGTCCCTAGAAGAGGTGCCCACTCAGCCCTACCAATGCATGCTAGGGATGAAATACAGCCTGCTAATTTAGACCCAGGCCTGCTACTCAGCTCTGCTGATGCCACCTCACTCAACTCCACCACCCTCTATTATTTCACCCCTGGGTCTCTGCTAAGCAGATCAGATTTCTTACCATTTTTTGTGATGAGAGGGAAAATTCACTTTAGACCAACAGTCTGCAACCTTGTCAAGCTGTAGGCCAAAACAACTCAGCTCTGGTCAAATTAGCTCCAGCGGCACATCAACACGAGGGGCCCTTGTCTGTGCCAGAGCCAGGGCTGGGCAGTGGGGAGCTGCGCTGGGGTCGGACAACTATCTATGTTGGGCTGCTGCCACTTCACTCTCCCCTCGCCCCCTCCCCTGACTGCAGCATGGGCACAGCTTCAAACCCAGGTACAGTTACATGCTGGCTGGAACCTGTGTCTCTACCTCAGGTGAGGCAGAAAGGGTGGAGAGAACCAGTGGTGGTGCGGGTGCAGCTCCCAAACACCTGATCCCAGTGTAGGTGTAGGCACAAAGTCCCCTATCACCACAAAGCTGTCAGAACCTCACCAGCTGCACAGGCTGGATCCAGTGGCTCTGTGCACCAGATTTGGTCCTTAAACCATATATTGCCAACACTTGCTCTAGATTACACCGAAACATCATCCCAGTATATTTCCATTACGGCTTCAATTGCAACCTGAACTCAAGTCTCCAATTCCCCAGAGCATTATACAGAGAGGTATTGTCATAAAAAATAAGCAATTATTATATAGTACAAAGAAAGAAGATGCTATCTCTTACGGTTCAGAAAACTCTGCAGCAGTTAAATGAAGGAAAAGGATGCTTAGAAAAATCCTTGACCACATCTCTGTCTTCGAAGGTGGAGACAAAGACACAAATGTGACCTCTCCTGAACAGAGAACACACCTTGTGGCTTATAAAGGCTCTTCAGCCACCACCCACTTCTTCATTATCTCATTGATATTCTAATGAATAGATGAAGAAATTACATTTGCCTAGATTGAACTTCTTAACTTCTGCCTTTTTTTTCCACTCCCACTGAAGTTCAGGGAGGTTCCAGTGTTTCTAATAACCCTATTACAATATTACAAGCCCAGCCACTCCCTGCTTCTTGGGATGTTTCACCAGCATTTGCATTATACTGAGAAGATTCCCTTATGATGTTCCAGCTTGTTAATATGTATCATCGCATCAGCATTTTTTAATTTTGTCAGGGACACTCCTAGACACGGCACAAGATGCAAAAACTGCCAGAGCACTGTTGTGCAAAAATATTGCACAGAAGTTGTATCCAACTTCACCTAAGAAAGGGAAGAAAACCACAATCTTATTTTCAAGGAAGAAGGACCAGACACAAAAAAGGACAGAAAAAATAGGCCAATCTTTATGTGCTCATGTCTTAAAGACTGTCAGGCCTAACATTTTTAATGGAGCTTGTAACCACTGGTATCATTAACAATCTATCAAGGAAAAAGGCAGCTACACTTAAGGAGGCACATAGATATTTTCCTTGTCCAGGTACAGAACACTGACTCTTTTTTCTAACAATGGGACTAATCTCTTTAATTCTCCCTATCTAATCACTTCAGCTAGCACTGGTATGTCTTTGTAGGATATTGCAAGAATCCCACATGCTGCTGAAGCTACTAAGTGTTAAGTGTCTATCCTTGCTGAGGCACTGTGCTAGTAGGGCCATGTGTAGACAAAACAAGAGGCGTGTGTGCATGACACTTTAAAATGGGCTAAAAGCTTTTGCACTGCTTTAATGGTGTCGTTGTTTGGACACCTCAGTGGTGTATTGCACATCAATTCCAGCCGTTGTAGGAAATTCAGGGGCGTAACGCGCATTAAATGACTTGGGGTGCAGCAAACTAAAATTCCTCTGAAGGGTTTTAGTTGCTGCCCCTACAGATGCAGAGTGAAGCACTGGGGCCTGTGCAGCTCTGCGGCTCTGCAGGAAGCCCTGCAGGCAGCTTGGCAGCAGCCCAGGAAGGCAGGCTCTGCCTAAGAAAAGCAGCAAGCCTGAATTTCTCCTGACCCGAAGCCTGCCTGCCTGCCTGAGTTGCATGTGGGCCCAGTGCTTCCCTCCATGGCTGTGGTGCCCCCCAGGACCGCCCAAGCCCAGTGCCTGTGGTCAGGTGCCACCTGGCGGGGAGCTGCCGCTGCCACGGAGGAAAGCACCAGCCCCTGCTGCAGCCCAGGGACCGCTCCACCTGCTGATAGCTTGCCCTCCCCTTCCTGCCGCTGGAGAGGCAGATAAGTCCAGGGTGTGTGCATGACACGGGGGTTTAAAAGGCCATAAATTGAAGCAGTGGATTTAAAAAACCACTGCTTCAATTTAGGGCCCCCTTTGCATATACACACACCTTAGGTCTCTATCCTTGCTGATATATTGGCTGGACTTTCTTGGAAAACAAAGACACCAGAAGGGTCAGGCAGCAGATAAATGATATACAGTTATAAGAAGCGCATTAGAAAGAAATCTGCTTCATGGATACAAGTCATATAGGCATAGCAACAGTGACGTAGTTGTGGCTGAGTGGTTAAGGCAATGAGTTTGAAATCTATTGGGGTATCCCTGCACAGGTTTGAATCTTGCTAACTATGCACTGCCTTTACCACTTGTGAGGCCAGCTCCCTTTTGGGGTCTCTGGCGCACCAGCTGGAGGAGCTCCAGGCCTCAGTCCAGAGACTGCGTGCCATCAAGGACTCTGAGCAGGAGATCAACTCCTACTGCCAGGCCCTTCTCCCCCAGGAGGTGGAGGGTAGACCCTGCTCACCCTCCAGTACAAGGGAGGACACCAGGACCTCCCATCCTGTCCAGTCAAGGGGATGGACCAAGGTGTTCAAGGGCCCCAGGGCCTGCTGCACCAAGGTCCCCACTCCGCTGGAGCTTTGCAACAGGTATGAACCTCTTGCAGCCCAATCAGAGCCTGCTAAGCTGCTAAGTCCGGTAGACAGCATAGGCCCAACCATAGCTACAGCCCCCGCTCTCCCTAAGACAAAACGCAAAGTGTTTGTTGTGGGAGACTCTATGGGGGGGAGGGGGGCAGTCTGCCGCCCTGACACCTTAGCCCGGGAAGTCTGCTGCTTCCCGGGAGCCCGAATCCGAGACATTACAGAGAAGATCCCTAAACTCCTCCAGCCCACTGACCACTACCCTATGCTCCTCATCCATGTGGGCACAAATGACACGACTTGGAGCGCTCCCAGCTGGGTCATGAAGTGCTATAGGGATTTGGGAGCGGGGCTAAAGGGTTTAGGGGCACAGGTGGTGTTTTCTTCGATCCTCCCAGTCTTGGGCTACGGGTGGAGGAGGGAGAGGAGGAAGCAGGTGGTGAACCAAAGGCTGCAGTGCTGGTGTTATTGGGAAGGCTTCGGCTTCCATGACCACAGTCCACTCTTTGGTGAGAGAGGCAGCGAGCTGCTGGGAAGGGATGGTTTCCATCTCTCTCTGCTGGGGAGGAGGCTCTTCTCAGCCAGACTGCCTGACCTGCTCCACCGGGCTTTAAACTGAGCCTGCCGGGAGATGGGGGGATTACCGCCACTGCTGGCCCACTGACTGACCCTTGCAAAACCAGTAGGTCAAGGCACTTAAAGGAGCCCACCTCTGCCTCAGCCCTGGAACAACCTGTAGGCAAGGCAAGGGCCCCCAAAGGGACACTTGCCTACCTGTACACAAATGCCAGGAGCTCGGGGAATAAACAGGAGGAACTTGTCCTCCTGCTTAACACAAATGATTATGATGTCATAGGGATAATGGAGACCTGGTGGGACTCCACCCATGACTGGGCCATAAGTACAGATGGTTATACCCTGTACAGGAGAGATCGAGTGGACCAAAGGGGCAGGGGTATAGCTCTCTATGTCAAGGAAAGCTATGCGTCCCTGCAAGCCAACATTGGCACCCAGGGTAGACGACTGGAGACCCTCTGGGTTAAAATCCGTGGGGAACACGGCACAGGGGATACTATGGTGGGAGTCTACTACAGACCCCCTACCCAGGATCAAGAGCTTGACTAGGAGTTCACCAGGGAATTAGCTGAAGCTGTGCACTCCCAGTGCGTGGTTGTCATGGGAGACTTCAACTACCCTGACATCTCATGGGAAGAGCGCTTGGTCAAATCAGAGTGGTCGCAAAGCTTTATCTTGTGTGTGGATGAGCTCTACCTGATGCAAGAAGTCGATGGGCTGGCAAGAGGTAAGGTGCTGCTTGACCTGGTACTGGCTATGGGGGACGATCTAATCAGCAACCTAAAGATTGAAGGGAAGCTGGGTGACAGTGATCATGAGCTGATCACCTTCACCACCTGCTGTAAAGCTGGCAAGTCAGTCAGCAATACAGAAGTCCTTGACTTCAGGAAAGCTGACTTTGACAAGCTCAGGAGGCTTATCAGTGAGGCCCTAAGGGACCACGACTGAAAGGTGAGGGGAGTTCAGGAAGAGTGGTTGCTCCTCAAAGGAGCGATCCTAGATGCACAAGCAAAGTCTATTCCATCTCAGAGGCAAGGCAGCAAAAGGGCACAGCGGCCTCCTTGGCTTTGCAGGAACTAGCGGACCTCCTGCATTTTAAAAGAAAGACCTACAAAGGATGGAGGACAGGATCCACCTCCAAGGAGGAATATTCTGAACTGGCCCGGACCTGCAGGGAGCGAACCAGGAAAGCCAAGGCTGTGACTGAACTCCAACTAGCTACAAGTATCAAGGACAATAAAAATTCCTTTTTTAGAGATGTGGGGAGCCAGAGGAAATGCAAGGGCAACATTGGACCCCTGCTAAACCAGATGGGACAACTGACAACTGATGTCCAGGAAAAAGCCAACTTGCTAAATGGGTACTTTGCATCAGTCTTTCACCAGTCCCATTACAGGGCAGGAACGCCTGGGTGAGGATGATTCCTTACCCTCCATCAATGCTGACCTCATGAAGGAACACCTGGAGAGGCTGGACACCTTCAAGTCAGCCGGCCTGACAATCTACACCCCACGATACTCAAGGAGCTGGCTAGCATCATAGCCCAGCCCCTGGCATGGATCTTTGAAAACTCCTGGTTCTCTGGTGAAGTGCCTGAAGACTGGAAGAAGGCCAAAGTGGTACCTATCTTCAAGAAGGGGAGGAAAGTGGATCCGGCAAACTACAGGCCCATCAGCCAGACCTCTATTCTGGGGAAGATCTTAGAAAAGATTATCAAAGAGGCCATTCTTAACAGATTGGC